AGATGGCAATCATTACAAACTTCTCTACCCTATTAATATCCTCCATTGCCCCTTCATCCTCCTGAACTAGAAGATGCAGTTTCCCTTCTTCATAGCAATAATATGCCCAATCAGCTAATACCTTTTGTTTTTCATCCTCTAAATCTTGCTCAACTTTCCTCCTACAACAAATGAGCTCTAGCAGCAGAATTCCAAAGCTGTAAACGTCAACCTTGACCGTTATAGGCTTCTTTCCAATCAACCATTCAGGTGCAACATATCCTCTTGTTCCCCTAACTTCTGTAAGAGTTCGTGTCTGATCTTTATCCAAAAGTTTTGCTAATCCAAAGTCCGAAATTCTTGCTGTCAAGGAATCATCCAGTAGGATATTTTGAGGCTTGATGTCACAATGTATGATCAGGTTGCTGCACTCTTCATGCAAATAAGCAAGCCCTCTTGCAGTTCCAAAAGCAATTTCAGTTCTTCTGTACCAGCTAGGCCTTGGATTCCTTAAAAGATAAGATGCTAAAGATCCATTGCTCATGTATTCATACACCAAAAGCCGATGTTGTCCCTCATTGCAGAATCCTAGCAACCGCACAAGATTCTTGTGGTCTGTGTTCCCAATTGCACTCATTTCTGCTTGAAATTCCTTCTCGGTGCAGTCTTTCTCCATCTTGCCCAATCTTTTAATGGCAATCAACTTCTTATTTCCAGTATCTAAAATTCCTTTGTAAACTGTCGAACAAGCTCCCTCTCCAAGTTCTTCTTCAAATTGATTGGTAGCTTCCTCCAGCTTCTTATAGGTGAAGCTTTGTAGGCTCATCATGTAACACTCCACATACCTCAGTGAATAATTTAAAAATTAGTGTCCTTTAGTTTATAGTTTTAGGGATTAAATTGATTGAATTTAAAGCTTGGGGGTTTTAAGTAAAACTTAGTAGAAGTTGAATGACCATAACTCAATTATCCCAATTTTGCTTACCACATGGCATTGTCCCACCCAAGTTTTTTTCTTTGTCAGTGGAAGCTTGGATAAGCCTCCAGAAGGCTCCCAAAAGCCCCATTTTTGTTTTCCTACACCTTTCTCTTCCACCTACATCTTTTTCTTCCTTCTTTCTCCAACCAAAGTTAAGGTGCTTTTTGTTAAGTAAGTATAAGTTTTAGTTATGAATTTTGGGTTAGAGTTTTGGGTAGTTTAAATTGGTAAAATTTGACTTTAATCCTTTGGTTTATAAGATTTTTGGGTATTAAACTTTTATTAAAAATATCCTTAATTTTGGGGCTTATATGGGAAAGATAGTGAGTTAGTTCTTTTTATTGTTTGATTTGGGTGTGAATGTTTATTACAGGAATTATAAGTAAATTATATTGTTTACGAATTACTGTTCATGATCACTGTTCATGATCACTGTTCACGCACTATGCTTTGATCTCTTTCAATAGGAAGTCCTAATATTATTTTAGACATATTATGGATTTATTTGGCATGCGTACGTGTTTGTGGTTATGGAGTAAGTGGACCCAAACTTAAAGCTTGGGGTATTTAGTGGACCTTTCGGGGTATTTAGTGGATCTCTGCGCAATAGGGTTAGTACTGTGATTAGCTTTGGTACAGTGTTGCTAGCACACCTCAGTGGACTCCATAGCATTGTGTGATTTTGATTTTATGCATTGCGCTTATGACATTGTATTTGTGAGCATATGATTTTAATATATGAATTCAATTTAAATATCATTGATTATTACTTGACATTTGTGCTTATGATTTGAGATATTAAGTCATTATTTAAATAGTGAGAATTATAATATTATGTGATTTGATTCTGTTATGTTTTATGCTCTTTGTGTGGATAGGTCTAAGGGTCTTAGGACCCAAGTTTATAGCTTAAACTTATTACTTACTGGGCTGTTAGCTCATAAAATCACCCCCCCATTTCAGATCAGTAAATCGAGATAGCAGCCTCTTGGTTTAGGAGCTTTTGACACGGGACTTGCATGCTCGTTGTATGTACTAGCTAGGGCCTCGTGTTTTCGATAGGGAGGCAGATCGATATCTTACCAAAACCATGACTCAGCTTTTGTTTTTTTGAAAAGCTTTGAAGAAGAATTTGCCTTGTATAATTTTTGTGTAAATTACCTTTATGTATAAAATCTTTAAATTAATTATAAATGAGCTTAACTCAGTTTATCTTATAATTTTGAATATTTTGGCATTTTCCAATATATATATGATATTCTTTTTATTAAATTGATTTTTTGAATGTAAGCTTTCTTTTGAAGAAATATTTTATATCATAAGTGTTTTTACTTTCGCTGCAATTCTTTACTATAAATTTTGTTTCCGAACTCTCCTAAGACTAAGAGTGCCTAGGGAGGTGTGTTATACATCATGTATTGGGTTGCTGTGGAAGGCTGAGGCATCCTTCTTTTCTTAATCCACTGAACAAGGTTCAAAAATGCTAATCTACTTAAAAGTATAGTTAGGATAAGAATCTGTGTTAACTTACGCGTCTTTGAACCAGCCGTTGGCGTAAAATTGTCTTTTCTTATTTTGATCAATGTTTTGACTGCACCAGCTTGACCATCTTGCAATCCTTTTGAGAGAGGAAATTTCTTCTTCCAACAGCCACCATCAGACCCAGTACCTTTTCTAAAGACTACAAGAGGACAAAGGCAATCCGT